AACAACAACAATAGAACTTTTACTATCGATATTTTCAAGAAAAAAAAACAAATATTTTGGTATCGAATTAAGCAAATGATAAAATGATAAAATGACAGAATAAGTGATAAAAAGTGAAATGGCTTAAATTAAAATTAGAAATGAATTAAAACAAAAATGTAAAAGATTATGATAGAGTGATCATACTGAATGAAAATTTTGATCCATTCGTTTGCCTGTTAATTTAAATCGATGACTTGCTGTTTTTTCAACATTCAATAAATGTAAAAAATATTTTGAAACTAAAATAATTCAAATTATTTGGGTACAATTTGGTGCAAAAATATAAAAAAAAAAAGGAAAAGAAACAGAATTTGTTGAGGTAAGAATAGAAATAACAGAAAAATGAAAGATAACTTCGGAATATTTACTTCAATTCTAAAAACGGATATAAATTGATGTACTGAGTTTATTGTTCATTGATGGTTCAATAATTTGGAAATATGAGTTAAATATAATCAGATCAAGATCACTTTATCTGATATATATATATATCACTATACTACTGATAACATTTTATATGACTATTTTTGTTGTAAAATCATTTATGGGATTCAAAATGTTTTTACATCGCTCATTTTCTGATTTAGGCCTAAACAAGTTGGAAAGTTTTTTTTTGTTTTTCTTTTTTTTTTTACAAGAGGTTAATAAGCTTTAGTATTTCATATTTTCAAGTGATATAAATGTATTTCCTAATTCTGTAATGGCAAGATGATAAGGAAAGGATTAAGGGCGGAAATATCTTCTCATTGGATACTTCAAAATGAGAAACACCTGAATATGAAATACATTTAAGCAGCATATATTTTAATATATTTATTATGATAGTACAAATATAAATTTGATTACAAATTGGATAGCAATCATATTTACATGCAATTAGTGCGCTTGTAATTGGCTAAAGGTCATTTGAATTTATACAGGGTCATCTGAATTTTATCAATTTAAAATTTATATTGAAATAGCTTATTCTTTATGCTTAGCAGATTTATGTTTACTTTTTCTTACTTTCGGTTTTAACATACTTTTCTTCTTTTTCTCACCACCTTCCGCTTGTACTAATTCATCCGTTTGTTGCTGTTGCTAAAAGAAAAAAAAAAAAGATTTAAACAATTGCATTTTGAAAAGAAGCATTTTAATTACTGGCATCACTATTTTGGATTATCATTATCAGCATAAATATCTTATCAATGTTATCAATGTTATCGCATCCTTATCAATGTCATCGCAAAAGTTATTATCAGAAGTCATTTTCATCATTATTGTTATCATTAGTATCACTACAAGGGATTATAATCTTACTGTATTATTGCTATAAAACATATTATTTATGGGATTTAACATATCTTGCGTCACTTGGCTTTGATTTAGGCCAAAAGAATGCGAGAAAAATATTCAGGCTCATAATTAAATCTTTTCAGTCAGAATTCTGAGATCGTAACCCTATAACTTGTAAAAGATGGGCATTTAACCAAAAGCACTGTTGAATTTTTTCCACATCCTGATATTTTCTTCGCTAAATAATAAATTGACAATTTTATCTTTCAGCAACGAATGCTGAGAAGTAAAGTGAAATTTCATGTTTGATCTTCAAATTTTCAATTTATTTCAAACTAACCATTGCAAAATTAGGACGAGGTGTACCGGTGATTCGTTGAAGATTTCTAGAAATTTCAGCCATCGACCATCGGTCATTCGGATTATCTGACCAGCACTTTACTTCGATAACACGACGCATTTGTGCAGGTACACATTCAGGTAATGGCATTCGATAACCTTCTTTAACCTAAAATCTTCTTCTTTTGCCATTTTAGATTATTTATAGTTTCAAATGAGATTAACATAATATCACTTTTCTTTTTTTTTCATTCATTTCTTTTTTTGCCTTAAAAATGTTTTACATTGCTGCAAAATTTATCATTTTATTCATTATCAATAACTTTTATTGTTCTTATCATTATTATTATTACAATTATTATCATCCTTATTTGTTTGAATATTTCTGAAATATGCAAATGAATTCAATCAATAAAACTTACTCGAACATTAACTTCAGCAACAGTAAAACCAGGATATGGTTCTTGACCATTTGCAAAAATTTCCCAACACATAATACCATAACTGAATACATCCGTTTTCTGTGTATACATAGCTGTACGTAACGTTTCCGGTGCAAGCCATCTAATCGGAACTCGTTTTCTTGGATCCATTTGATATACAGTACCTTCACGTGTTAATCCAAAATCACTTATTTTAATCTAAAATTAATAATTACAATATTTTGTCTTTTTATAAATTTTTCATTACTGTAAAATCAGAAAAAAAAAGATTGAGAAATCTGAGAAACAATTTAATGGAGAAATCTGTGAGATGATTCAATTGAGAAATTCTAAGAAACAATCTAGTCGAAAAATTCTGAAAAACAAATCCAATCAAGAAATCTAAGAAATGATTCAATGGCGAAGTCTACGAGATGATTCAATTGAGAAATTCTAAGAGATAATCTAGTCAAGAAATTCTGAGAGACAATCCAATCGAGAATTTTACAAGACAATTCATTCCATGACAAAAGTTTTCATGGATGTTATCCTTTTTATTTCTTGAAATCAATTCATCACATGATAGCAATATCATTGCATCAATCATATCCTTCTCCACATTGTGGCACAAACTTTCACATTTTCAAATAGCAAATAAATCTATACACTCTTATTATCATCTAATTATTGTTAAAATTAATTAAATACCTTATTATCACCAAAAAGGCAATTTCGTGCAGCAATATCACGATGCAAAACAGGCTTAGAATGAAGATATTCAAGTCCCCATGATGCACCCAAACACATATCCATCTTTTGCTCCACTGAAACCTGATTTTTTTGCAAATAAGAATCCAATGCTCCTTTATTTGCCTAAAATAATTTACTTATTTGATTAGAATATTAAAAAAAAAAAATAATCCATAAAAATTTGCAATTATTTTTGGACTTAAACTACTAGACTTAGAATTAGACTTATATTTTAAACCAAAATTGAACAAACTTCTTAGACTTAGATTACTAGATTTAGAATTAGACTTATATTTTAAACCAAAAAAAAAAAAACCAAAACCTAATGATGACATACAATTAGAAGATGACATCACTTAATCTATTGAACATGATAATCGTTGAATTTTAATATTTTCAAAAATTTCAAATTTACCACAAAAAAAAGAAAGGAGATTAATTTTATTCCTTTATGAAATTTATCAATTCATAATCTTACCAATTCCATGACAATCATTAATGGTTCTTGGCCAGCAGCTACACCATAACATTTGCATACATTAGGATGATCAAATGTTCTATGTAAACGAGCTTCCTTCATAATTTCTTTGATCTGTTCTTTAGTAAGTGTTTCTAACTTAGCCTATAAAACTATACTAATTATGATAGGTTGTTATCAAATGATAATTAATAATGATTCTTATGTATTAAATATAATTAAATAAATACATTGTATCATCATCATCATCATTATCATCATCATCATCATCATCATCATCATCATCAT